AAAAAAACAACAACCGTTTGTATTTTTAAAATGTTGTAAAGTATGAAGGCATTAAGCCGTCATATAAGCTGGTAAAGTCTGTTGTAAAGTACTTCGAGTATGTGTTAATACGTGAAGCAGGTAGAAAATACGTAATAATTTAGAATTTTTTGAAGAAAAAACTAAACACATGAAAAATGAAATATTGAAGTCACGTTAGTAACTGTATTGGACAGTGTTACTAGTAATCAGCCATCATTACGGTATGTTTCAGGATCGAGGGGTATATATATATATATATATATATATATATATATATATTAATGTACTTATATACATTTTCTTTAATTATAATTATTTTATGAGGTTCCATTATTAAACGTCGGTGGTCTCTGTTTATTTCTAAGCATTTAGATAAAGTTTCAAATGTTAGAAACACTCAGCATCAATAGTAAAATGAATACAGCATTAAATAAGATCAGCCTCTACAGCTTCATAAATAAAGATGTACCCAGTAAATAACCCACTTCTACCATCATAACAAGCTATAAAAACGAAGTAGGTCGCCCTCGAGAAAACTCCTGACTGTTGTGTTATGATCCAACATTACCGAAAAACGACCAGGAAACATATTTTCTAATGGTCGAGTATAAGTAACGACAATTATACGACTTTTATAGAGGTAGTTCAGATGCACAGAAAAATAAAGCACATTTTCTATAAAAGAATTACACGTAGCATATTAATACGCAAGCTATGATGGTAAATTACTCCAAGACATTTATTATGTTAATTTTGTTCTATGCATCCCAGCACAGTAATAAAAAAAACCGAAGTCAGTATCGTTGTTTCTTTTACCGGAGTTATTATGTCATGGTAATTACAATGGATAATGTTTATTACTAGAGAGATGATCATGGTTAAGGATAGGGTAAAGGTTACAGTTGCTAGGGATAAGGATGTAGAGCCAGTGTTAGCAGTAGAGTAGCATCAGCAGCAACACTAATGTATTTTAAGACGTCGTGTTGGTGATCGTATGTATCGTTAATTTTACGTAGCTTATGTTTAATATATAACTTTATACATATATAAGTTTATATATTTTTATATAAAACTTTATACATTCACGTCTTTAATTTTATGCAGCTTATGTTTAAGTTTAATATATAACTTTATACATTCAAGTATCGTTAATTTTACGTAGCTTATGTTTAATATATAACTTTATACATTCAAGTATCGTTGATTCTATGAAGCTAACGTTCATTTTATGACTTTATACATTGACGTATATTTATGTACATGAATACGATCTCGTTATCAACGTGTAAATAAAGCACGAAGCATTAAAGTATATGTTTCTATATCATTGCTGCATCGTCACGATCTATTTTACTTGCATTAACTCGCAACAAATACATCAACGTATTAGCCAGATGTACATCTTTCATTTGAACTAAAAAAAAAAATTTAAAAAAAAAATCCTGGAAAAATATATTTACCTTGCACTAAACGAAACAAGGGCAGCTACTCGGCGTACTGAAAGCAACAAGGGACGCAACTAGGTTTTGGTGTCGTGGAGGGGCGAGCAATCAACGAGCACCCGTTGAGTGCTCCAACACGGAGAGCACTTAACCCAAACTTGGGTGAAACCCTTTAACCCTCTTGTGTTACCGATTACTGAAGGGGGTGATAGAGATAGGGAGGGGAATAGGGAAACAAAATGGCCGCGCAATGGATTTTATAACGCGTTTAACTAATAATAACTTTTTTTAACGTTTTAAATAACATGCATAAAATGGTATCGGTTTATCTCTTTATTTTTTTTTCAAAATAAAAATATTCGCAGTGATACAATTTAAAGCTTTTTTTCTTAAATTTTAAAACTTAGGTTAAAAAAGCGAAACAAATAGTGCAAAATATTGTAGATTCCTAGTACAAGCTAGGTTCAAACATATATATATATATGTATATATATATATATATATATATATATATATATATATATATATATATATATATATATATATATATATATATATTAGTGTGTGTGTGTGTGTATACTACATACATACACTGATATATATCTGAAGAATTTTTATGTTGAGTAAATTCTTCTTCCCATGATACTGGTGCCTATGCACTGGATTTCACGTCTGTCTTGAGATATGGTGACATATGGTGACATATGGTGACATAAGGTGATACACGCTAACACGGGGTGGCAGGTCTTCGTGTTCAAGGTCATTTACGACACAGTCGCCAACCTAAGATTACACAGTCGCCAACCTAAAAATATACGGTCGCCAACCTAAAACTAAAAAGTCGCCAACCTAAAACTACACAAACCTAAAACTACACAAACCTAAAACTACACACTCGCCAACCTAAAACTACACAGTCGCCAACCTAAAACTACACAGTCGCCAACCTAAAACTAAAAAGTCGCCAACCTAAAACTACACAAACCTAAAACTACACAAACCTAAAACTACACACTCGCCAACCTAAAACTACACAGTCGCCAAATCTAAAATGTACGTGTAACAAGTCTTTTCACACCTCCCCCAACGCTTAAACACTACGCCCCTCGTATTTGAACACTTTGTTTACAATTCGAAAATTGTCTATCAACAGTTCGTTCCCTTTTTTTGTCCCCCTAACACTATATTTAAACAATTCATGCCGAACAGCGAGAAAAGAAAACTAAGGCTTTCTTTGCTGTAGTTTTTTTTTTTTTAACACGTTGGGCTAGCGGCTATAATTTTTAGCAACTCCAGACAAACAAAAGGGAGGGAAGTAGTCAGCTTTTTAAGACAGGTTGTCTTAGTGTTATAAATAAAGCTTATGGGCCTTGTAGCTTAGTGGCTGGTGTCCCCCTGCCCCCTCCCACTCTACATACCCCTTTCGCACAGTATGTTATATAGAAACATATGTAATCTGAAAATTGTATTTGCTATAGTGAAGTGTGTCTTTTTCTGTATACAGTATTAAAACTAAGACTATCACCTTGTTATTTCAAGAAAATTTAGAAATCTCAAGGATATAAGAAAAGAACAAATTTCAAACAAATAACTTTTCTTTTCCTTAGATTTTGGATATGAGTTGAAATTAAATGGTATTAAAAAAAATATTTTTTGTGTGCATCAAACAGAACAGATACAAAGTCCCGCTTATGGTACTTGAGCGAGACAGTGTTCTCAGTCTGCAGATGGTTGCTTCTTCTACCACTGTGACTACCGGGCAAACACATCACTATCTTGTTATTCAGATGTAAGCCAAATTTGATGGAATATTTTTATATTTGTTACATATGCGTTTTGTTTGAGTGCGTGTGTGTTGTTTGTTAAGGCGTGTATATAAATTATATATATATATATATATATATATATATATATATATATATATATATATATATATATATATATATATATATATATATATATATATATATATATATATATATATATATATATATATATATATATATATTTAATTCGCAATCCTTGAAGACCTATGTTTAATCCCGTTAGCCCCATTTCTGTGTGTCTACAGGTAACCTCAAATGCTAGTAGCATGGTGGGCTAGGAAGGTACTATAAAGAGCTGAGACAAATAAACGAGATTTTCGCTGCTTGAGACAATAAAACCTTTTAGTAGTACAGGTACACCGTTCAAGTAATAGTTACTATCTGGTATTTATTTTTTTTTATGTTGAGTTTCTGGATTAGCTTCTAGATAAGGTGGAGAAGATAAGGAATATGATGAAAATTTAGGAGTTGGGTGGGGGGGGTGAAGTTGGAGACGCCAGATTTTGTAAATAATATTCAAATATTTAGAGCTTGTTTGGGTAGCCTGGCTCCTGTTGGTAGTTCGAGCTACACGGGTAACATTAGCATTAGGGGTGGGTCACGAGGTGGGTCAGGGGTGGGTCATGAGGTGGGTCAGGGGTGGGTCATGAGGTGGGTCAGGGGTGGGTCATGAGGTGGGTCAGGGGTGGGTCAGGGGTGGTCATAATGTGGTGTCAGGGGTGGGTCATGAGGTGAGTTTATGGGTATGTGAAGGGTGGGTTATGAGGTGGGTCAGGAGTGGGTCATGAGGTGGGTCAGGGGTGGGTCCTAAGGTGGGTCCTAAGGTGGGTCATGAGGTGGGTCAGGGGTGGGTCATAAGGTAGGTCATGAGGTGGGTCAGGGGTGGGTCATAAGGTAGGTCATGAGGTGGGTCAGGGGTGGGTCCTAAGGTGGGTCATGAGGTGGGTCAGGGGTGGGTCATAAAGTAGGTCATGAGGTGGGTCAGGGGTGGGTCCTAAGGTGGGTCATGAGGTGGGTCAGGGGTGGGTCATAAGGTAGGTCATGAGGTGGGTCAGGGGTGGGTCATAAGGTAGGTCATGAGGTGGGTCAGGGGTGGGTCATAAGGTAGGTCATGAGGTGGGTCATAAGGTGGGTCATGAGGTGGGTCATGAGGTGGGTCAAGGGTGGGTCATAACGTAGTCGCCAGGGGTGGGTTATGACTTGAGTTTAGGGGTATGTGAAGGGTGGGTCATGAGGTGGGTCAGGGGTGGGTCATGAGGTGGGACATAACGTGGTGTCAGGGGTGGGTCATGAGGTGAGTTTAGTAGTATGTGAAGGGTGGGTCATGAGGTGGGTTAGGGAATCAGTAACCGCTGTGTGGGTCATGGGTGGGTCAGGAATTGCAGAGTGTATAATTTATAAAGATAAAAGACGTAGACTGTAGATGATGAATTGAAAACGAAGCCAAAATGTGTCTTTAAGTCTGGTTCTAATCAAATAAAGAAACTTTAAATGAAATTTTAAGCATTTTTTTTTTATTTTTTAGGGGGGGGGGGAGGAACAACTTCAACATTCCAAATTTTTAACCCTAAAAGGTCGAACTTCGAGTAACTTAAAATACGCATGAATCATCTTCGTTTGACTTATCAGTTTAATAAAACTCAAAACAAGACTAAAACGTATTCATCTACTAAGTTCGAACTCCGAAACACTTTTTAAAAACAAGGCTTACCAATCTTTCCTCTCGAAGGTATAGTCATCTCCAGTGGTGATGTCTGAGGTGAGAAGTATAATCCATAGGAGCTGCAACCATGGCAACAAGGACGCTCGGTTGGGTGTTGTGTGCGCCAGTGTGTCTGCTGTTCTGATCCAGGGTTGTGGACCCTGACGTCACGGATCAGTTTTTCCGGAATTTGAAAATTTTTAAAATCCAACCGAATCTCGAAACGACGATTTCATTAAAAATAAACAATTTTTTTTTCTGTGTTTGATAAAAAAATTAAATAGTTGAACCAATTACTATTCCAGAGTGCCGTAGATCTATCTCTGCAAACTCAAAGCAGACGACCACTCCGATTATTTTTGTCACACTCTTTCAACGTCTGGTCGCTTGTGACGTAAGAAGCCACGAATCAGGGGAGTGTACCCGGTCACGTGATATTTTAGCTTGGTTAAAAAAAAACGGTTTCACTGGTAACTTAGTTATCACGTGCCTAAATAAGTCCGATAGATTTATGAATTATCTTTCTCTCTCTATTAAGACCATGATCCTCCCTTGTGTAGAAATATTGTTGATGAAATCTTTTTCTATTAAACACACATTTATAAAAACAAAGAATATATTAAACCAGCCAAAAGCTCATCTATACTAGAAACAGTTATTTAATTTTCAAATTGGAAGCTATTTCATAATGTTTCTCGTTTTTTTTTTGTTTTTTTAAATTTACTTTTTCGAAAATAACACAATCGTAATTAATGCTGTGATAAACATATCAAGTTAATCGAAGTTAACTAATTAAAATGAACCCGATTTGGATTCGATGGAATATGGTTAACAGAAGATAGTTTTGAAAATACTATACTTTTAGAGTTAAGCTGATAATTAAATTAAAACTTTAGAGCTAGTATTTAATTACAAAATAATGCCGTTTTTCTTTTCTTTTTTTTTTACCCTATCGAGTCGTTGTATTCAACAAGTATAGGAGATATAATATTAAGACACGACAGAAAACACAATAAAAATAAGAGCGGAAGTTTCAAGTTTAAAACATTAAAATAACAACTCGGGTTATCTAAACCTAATGAGTTTTTTTTTTTAATACGTCTGAAGGTTAATTAAGAATTGGTGTGTGGGTTGTAGGTAATTGGTTTGATGTGGAAGGAGTTAAACAATGAGAGAAATCTTGATATCAAGGTGTGCGGGGGCGGGGGGGGGGGGGGAGATATAAAATATCAAGTGTCTTTGTTGGTATGTTTATTTGCTTTTGTTTGTTTAGGCAAGTTGCAGGTGTTTGAAATAGCATCTGGTGATGGTGCAGTTGGTTTGTTTATCGCTGCAATCGGATGGAGGTAATTTTAGGGTTGGGTGTTGGGTTAGGGTTATGACTAGAATTAAAGGTAGGGTAAGGGCTGGGGTATGATGTGTATTATTCGTATTTGAGTCAGATTTATTAGTTAGAAAAAAAACAACCAAAAAACTATGGTTTAAGAAAATTGTTAGGGTTTGGGTTTGAATTATGGACACGGTTTTTGTCAAACTCTGGTCTAACGTTAGAGTAATGCTTTATGTAAGGTTAAAATTTGGATTAGGGCGAGATTTAAGATACGGCTAATGTTTAATTAAAGGTAGGGTTTGAACCTAAACGCATGTTTGAGTAAGGGTTATAATTGCTTCTTATAAAGATACCGATCGAAACGAAATTGTAATATAACGAATAAGCCAAAAGTACCATGTAGATACAGCCCAGTGATTCCCAAACACGGACCAACGACACCGATGCAACTCCTGACAGTGGCGAGACCCTCTACAAAAACAGATGTCCCAGCAACCGGTACCCATTCCCATTAGACCCTAAGCATGCCAGCTCTGTCAGTATCTAAACGTAACCTTTCAGATATTTCAACCGGCATCAGCTTGCTCAGACGTCTAAGAAATGGAAACCATTTCCACTGGGCTAGTGATAAGTTAGGTACTGCTTCGGGAAAAACCGATTGTCTATTTATAGTACGCATGCTATATTACTCCGAAAATTTTATTTTTATTTTTTTATTAAAAAAAAAAAAGACAAAAAAGGGGCAATAACCACGTTGCGGAGTTATGGAACTTGACAATGCGTTTATCGCCCTCGAGAATGTATAATGTCAATAATAAGTTTTACCACCAAAAGTTGAAGATAAGAATTGGGGTTTTATTTTTATTGTATCCCTATTGTTCGTTTTTCGCTTTAAAAATAAAATTTTAAAAAATCCAACTTTTCTACAGGGAGAAAGAAAGAAAAAAAAACACACACAGAAGGGGGTGTTAAAGATTTATAGTAGCCCTACACACAGTTGAGCTAATGCACACTAGTTGTGTGTTAAATATTATGTTCCCTCCGTCGCTGGTGATATTGAATGTGGTGTTGTAAGCGTCGTGGGATATATTTTTATACTGTATCTTAGTTATGTTTTGAAAATAAAAAGGGAAACACGTCACCCCCCCCCCCCCCACCCGCATCGAAATGGAATTTATATTATATAGAAAATATATACTTTTAACAGTGTCCACCCCCTCCCCTCCCCCGGACATTTTTTAGTGCCCCCTGAGAAAAAAAGTCTGAAAGAAACACTGTGTAGCAGTGCATCAACCCCCAACAGTACAGTCACCCCCCTCCCTCCTACCCCACCCCTAGGAGAAATAAAAACATCACAATATAACGTAAATCAAGAAAGTACCAAACTAAAACCGCAAATGTCGTGTTGCCTGAGTTCTAATCCATTTGAAACTATATTCTCGAAGGCTCATGAACTCTCCTTCGGCTAGGGTTCACAATGACGGGTTCACGGGTTCAGTCTTACAACTTACGCGACGACAACTGGACGGCTATTTTTAGAATGACAATAATTAGAAACACGCTTTAGCGTGTGAAGAGCGCCAAAAAATGTGTCTGGTTTAAAGTGTAATAAAATGTATGAAAACCGTAATAACGACAAGGGTCATACGGGGAGATAACTACTACTGTGAACTGAATAAAATTAAATAGCCTTTTGCTAACAGCTGTTTGGATGAACATTAACAGAAGTCCTAACAAAAATATATAATGAAACATATTTACTTTTTAGGAACCTTTAAAGTAACACTTTTATATTCGTAACTAACAAAGAATTTCAATATTTATTTAAGAAAAGAAAACAAGTACTGGTTAATTTTATAAATATAATAAAGAACACAATTTACAAATAAAACACATTCTTTTTGGAGAGGATCTATAGCCTTATTAAACTTATTTGGAATATTAACTTTTATTATAAAATATTTAGTCTCTTTGAAAAATTAATGATTTCTTAAATTTTTTTTTAGTAGAGAATAGTTTAATCTATTTTAACCAAAGTAAAGGATTATCAAACTGACACAATCATTTTGTTGTCGAAAATTGGGGTTAGATCTATCCTTAAATAAACAGTCTGTGTTAAAAAAAACTACATCACATAACAGCAGAGAGGTGTTGTATTGATGATGTATCTATCGGGAAGAGCAATCGATAAATACTACGATTGCACTTATTATAGGATTTAGTGGTACAACTTAAATATTATTTCTGAAATTATTATGTAACGGCCTATATGTCTAGTCTCTTAGAATAATATTTATACAAATCATTTACGAAATTAGTAATTGCATTAATTAATTAAACTTACATAATTAAATTAATATCCCTCAAAAATATTATAAAAGAGTTGCTATTTTTACATTGATTTTTTTTTTTTTTTAATAAAAGAAAATCAGACGATTATATTTCAAAGTCCGAATTACTGCTCTAAAAATCCAGAACATAACACATTTCACAATCAACACGGCACCTAAAGATTAAAATGAAATATTGTTCCACTCCGATTTCCGAATAGTTGAAATACGATCCCCCGGAACACTCAATGAAAAAGTAAAGTCTCCGAGACCAATGAATTCCACAACATCTCCTTAGGATTCGTTAATACTTATATACCGCATCCCTAATCACCAATTTCGAAGTCGACTCAACTAGCCAATCCGATTGTGTGGAACATTTTCTCCCACGCCAACTCATAGTGGCCAAGCCAGCTGAGGTTTGTGCGTAATGTGATAATATTTCTATTATTCCAAGGGCAAATAATCCACTAGTGATCATGCGCTTGAATCGTTCTCTCCCCTTCCTCGTTTCCTGATAGGGGGGGTTACAGGTATGATAGCCGAGCGCAGTCCGACCCTCGTGGTTGGCTGTGGCGTACAGGTTTTTTTTTTTCTTTTACCCCCGCACTTCTTACTCTCTAACCCATCGTTTCCAATGCGGCTCGCCCCCCACACAAACTAGTCTAGCGGCGTGGATCGTCGTCGCCTCGACAGCCCGCTAGCCGCGCTACTCGCTCAGCGCTGATGAACACTCGGGGTCCCGATTTCTTCTAAGTTCGAGTAAAAGGTTTTAGTCGGGACGAAAAGGGGGGCGGATGGGATACAAATAGCCGCCGAATGCGTGTGGACTTTAAAGTGAGAAGTTGAGAATAAAATATCAGAATTTATCACGCTTAGTTAACGCGTTAAATTCCTCAACGGCTATTTATAGCTGAAATGCCTAAAAACGATACTGAAACGGGTTAGGGTTAGATTTAGAGTGAGGATTATCCATTGTGACGTTAATGATAGTACCAGTTTTAGGAACGTTTGGGCATGGGTAAGGCTAATTTACTAGAGAACCTGATTTTCTTTAAGAACTTTTCTTTTTAAGTGAAGTTTTTTAAACGATTTGCGTCTGCCTATTTTCGTTTTTAGATACACAAAACGGATATAGAATCTAGTTTCGTTTTCTAGCATACATGCAGTTTACTTGTTTAAAGTTTATGACGTTTAGTCATAGGCCACTGCTAATGCAGTGTAGTGATGCACGAAATAATAAAACAGAAAGTGTTGGTCTTCTCGCATATTTTGAGCACATTGACGTAAAAGATAGACTTATATAATGATTTTGAGGCTAAAGTGATGAAACGGATGTGCAGTATTTCTTCAAAACTTTCTTTCTCCAGGAGGGGGGGGGGGGGGGGGGGGGGGGACAACAACATTTTCCGAGGGTGCGGACACTGGTAAAAGTATGTTTTCTATATAAATTCCATTTCGTGAGGAGGGGGGGGGGGGGTTGGGGGGAGGGGGTTAGGGTTAGGGT